GCCTAGGGGCCTTAAAAATTAGGACTGAGCTGTAGAAAAGATTATGCTATAATTTTATTAAGGAGCCTCCAAAACCCCGTTCTATTTGCTAAGGCCCCTACATTACAGGAAGCCTTTCGAGAATCGCAGAAACAGCAAAGCCTTCAGAGGCCTCGGCTTCCGCATCTTCCCTAAACCCTAAACCCTAAAGCCCACACAGATATCGGCATCGTCTTCGGCACCCACGAAGCGGCTAGTCTTGAGATTCTCCAAGGGTAAAAGGAGGGACCCTTAATAAGGACCCCTAGGTCTGTACCCTTAATATAGCTATTATATACCCATTACATAGCCCCATTATGGGGTAGGGGTCCCCATTAAGGGTCCATCCTTTTCCCCTTTGAGATTAGTGTTCACAGAGTTTACAGTTCCTCGAACATTTTATGCAGGGCCGGCTATGGATTTTGAGGTTTCTGTGAACCGTAAACCCAAAGGACCTAAACCTTAAACCTCTGCATAACTGTCTGCAACTGCTTTCAAGCCCAGTTTCCCTCAAGGGAATGGTTTAGGATTGTGCTGTTACTCCAAAGCACTGCCTGCCTTTTCACCAGTCTTAGAGACTGAAGGTGTCTTGGACGGCCTTTCCGGAAGCGTGTCAGCTTGACCATGTGCGCGCCTCCTACCTTCGAGAAGACCTCATCACACGGCATTTGAAGCTGGCTGGAAAGGTGCCTCAGAAAGATACGCAAAGGGCGCATTGCCCTTTTACTGTACCATGCCCCAAATTCCCGATTAAGAAATTGTACTGTTTATTGTTATGTAGTCTAGAAGATGTTACTTGGCGAGACAGGCATATTGCGCCGTCAAACCATCAACAGCAGCACATTGGGCCGTTGAATTTGGGGTATTTCGAAGATCAACGTCACTGGATATCTCTGCATCCGCTGGGTGCGCATCACACACACCCAGCGAAATGTAGCAAACAAATTCTGCAATCACCAAGTTTCCAGGCATTGCAGGGCCGTGCAGGATATATACAGCAGGCTGTCCTGATGTCTTTGGAAGGGAGCAGCCAAGCTCTTCAAACTGATGGCCATGAAGAGTCCCAAAAGAAATGTCAGAAGCAGAGCTGGTATACCGATTATGACACACACAGGGTTTCATGATGAACAAGAATACCACATTCTTCAATATGCAAAAAAGCACTCTAAAGCCAGAAAACTCGTCCCGTCAAGAAGTCAGCCCCCGGGCGACTTGAAAAAGTCCTACGGCGGTTCGTTCCCACCAGTTCATGCTAAGCGCATGGAGGCTGGATCAAAGGCGACAGCACTTGAAAAGATTTAGAGTCTAAGTCTAGGTTCTACGGTTTCGTGTGAATCGAAAGCGGCTGCACCCTCTGTTGCTGGCTCTTGCTAGGGAATTAGGGGATCTACGTATAAAGATGCCCGCGATGGGAACCTCTGAGAAGCCTGTATTGCGGCATGATACGCAATTGCCACGTCTCTTCGCTTTGCGAATGGTAGTTGTTGGAACTCCACCTACTTAGAGGATCATGGGACTTAGTAAGTAGGTTATAACTGGGGTTATAAGTCCCCTAAGTGGGGTTATCCTAATTATAACCTACTTATAACCTTACTTACTAAGTCCCATGAGCCTTTAAGTAGGGAGAGGTACGATAAAGGAGAGAGTTTGAAGGAATATCTGGGAAAGCCCAGAGCTGCGGGTTCCTAACGTAGGAGCCTAAATAACTAGAATAGCGTTTTGGGGGGTTCCTGGTCATGATTGAAATATAATATACCCCCAAACGGGGCTTAGATAATTCCCACTACTAGTTTTGTTTTCTTGCTTACGGGGGGGTGGGGGGAGGGGGGGCTTGTGATTATAGTATCATGAGCCCCAAAACCCTATTCTGCAGGCTTTGGGGTTTCAGGGTTTAGCCGAAGAAAAACCGAACTGGACAAAGCTTCGTATAGGGTGAACAGCAGCCCTTCTAGCTAGGTAGCTCTACGGTTGATGATATAAATCCTGCATTATCCATAATAAGGAGTATACCATATGGGCAGTTGTCAAAATTATGGTCCCTTTTTGGGTACCTAATATAATACGGCATCTAAGATTTAGGGTACCCAAGAAGGGACCACAATTTCGACAACAACCCATATACGCACCATATGCAGGATTTATATCATCAACCGTACCTCTCATGGCTGAAGTTTGCCATAACATGTGCAAGAGGCCAAAACCACTACCTGTAGAATCCCAAGGGCCCAGGCAATCTCCACAATGTGAGGACCGTAATGATGCGAAAAGGATTTCCGGGAGGGCTCCTAATGTTTAAATATAAGACCAACATGCCCCAAAACCCTTTTCTAATTATTGAGGCCCCTACATGATGTGCTTTGTCGAGTGCTCGCTTCAAGAAAGTGCCAGCGGGGAAGACGGGTGGTGCCCGTGATCCATCCCCCATGCGAGGGCGGCTGTACATCCCCTACAAAGGCAAGCTAATGGTATCCGACTGACCGCAGGAAGCTATACCTGCAGACTTGAAACCAATTTCCACACGGACGCGCACCTGACCATACGTGGCAAACTCTGGGGACAGTGGCAATCCTGATGCAAACCACCGAACGTCTTGAGATGTGCGAGTCGAGCTATGCTTCGACACCTTCACACTAGGCCATGGCATCAGTGCTGAGGTTCTCGGGGTATTTGGGGTTTAGGGTTGGCCTAGGACCTCAAGTCTTATCATCAAGTGATGTCGGCTTTGTCATCATGACACCATGACGATCATGGAATCATAGAACCTGGCATCACCACCGTCAGCACTGTTTTCGGTTTCAGCGGTAGTGTCTTAGTGGTCATCTTGGCAGCCACAACCGCCATCACCGTTAACATTCTCACCGAACTTGTCAACAATCTCGATGTTGAACCACCACAGCTACGATAAAGACACGATGGTAAATCATCAGCATTCGGATAAGCCACTGTTCTGCTGCCTTAGTGTACTGCTGCTGCATGCAGGCTTGCTAGTCTGCTGTTGCTGTTGTTGCCGTCTTCGCTTTGATGAGGCTTGGTCTTTCTGTGATCTGTATCAGCCCATTCGCAGCGTGACCGGTCATACTATGGCTACAAACCTTGTTGTCTTTCTGGATATCCGGATTGCTTAGCTGATCCCACAGAGCTTGCAGGCTGTCGTCTCAGTTCGACCCTTGTCTACTGCAAGGAACGGGCCGTTCAAAAACGAACTGATGTTCAAGAGCTGTGCCTGAAAGTTCCTCGCCCAAGAGCAAGCCTTCCAAGATCCGACTCTCTGGAACCCGGAGGCCTGACTGATGGTTGCTGAGGCTCCCAGGCACCCTCTTTTTGAACAGGTTTTCTTCAAATTTCTCTTCATGGTCATCCCACTCGGGCCAGTTTAAGGCCGGGGAGTGCGGGAAACTTCATCCAATGGGGAACTTGAGCCGTTCTGCATGTCTGGCACCGCGGCCGGTAGCAACAAAAGTCCACCGGCGTGCCATCGGAAGTTTCCCTTCATGGGAAAGGCTGCTATCATTGCTGACACCCTGTCATCTCTGATATCTGCCTAAACGGCATCGCTCAAAGAGGCACCGGGCAGAAGATCGCTATGCCCACTGAAGACTCGCGATTTTTTCCCGGACCCTTGCTGACTACAACAATCTGTCGCCAAGCGAAAGGGACCAAAAAAGATCTTAAACCAAGCCATAAACCCTAAACCCGAAACCATAGACCCCAATCAGATCGTTCCAATAGCGCAGTTGACTTACAGGGGGGCCCTTCGGGAACCCGAGACCTCAAGGCCCAGACCCTAAGCTTTACACCCTACACCCCTAATCCTAAATCCTAAACCCTGCACCCTAAACCTAAACCCCAAACCCTTATGTTCCCACACAGCCGCCCCACTCTCGACAGCTCCAAAAGCCCAATCGCCGAAAAAAACGTGAAATGTCGGTTCTCTTACATCTTCCTGGCGTAAGGCTTGGGATTCAATTCTTTTTTAAATTGCAATGGCGTCTTTCTGGTTCCAGCAACAGAGAGGTTCACCTTCCAAATCTAGAGTTTAGGCTTTGGTGTTGAGGATCTAGGGCTTCGGATATTGAGCGAAGAGCTTAGGATCTTTTTTTATGAAGCGCCTCTTTTACAGCTCGCAGGTTGCTTACCGAAAATCCCCATAGGGAAGGATTTTTTAGGGCATCGGATTCAGGCAGCTTCGAGAATTCTGGCACTCTACCCTTCAGAATTCCAGACTCAGAAATTCCTGGAATACCCTCTCGACTGGGGTTTAGTGTTGAGGGTTTAACCCTAAACCCCTAAACCCTAAACCCCTAAACCTTGAACCCCTAAACCCTAAACCTGCGAGCCCGATACTTCTTCGAAAGCCGCTGGCAAAAAGTTCGGATGCTGCTCCTTAGCGCTGTCTACCTCCGGGTTAAGGCCCTGGGCTTTCCGATGATTTATGCTTTAGGGTTTAGGGGTTTTGGAGGTTTAGGGGTTTAGGGGCTTAGGAGTTTGAGGAGTTTAGGGGTTTAGCGGTTTTGGATTTAGAGGTTTAGGGGCTAGGGCTTCGGGGTTAGGGTTCAGGGTGGCTCCCTCATATTATGGCGCAGAGTGGGAGCTAATATAGGAACCTGTGTAAGAAACCCTGGGTCCGTTCTCGGGTTCTTTACGCGAGTCCTAATTTTTGGGGGGTTATAGGGAAAAGGATTCTTAATCAGTTTCCTACGTTATATACTTGCATGAAGGAGCCCTGCTTCTGCGCAGTCCCTTCATTGATGAAACTCCCATGTGTTTTCGGCTTAGTTCTTCAGGTGTGGGGGGCTCAAGCATGTAACCACAGGCTAGGGATTACGGTTTAGGGTTCAATATTCCAAAGGTGTCTGAGGGAGGCTGCAAACCTGACACCTTATCTGTAACAGCAGCATTGGAACTAGCACTGCCTCTTAGCTCGCGGGCCCCGGTGGCACATTGCTAGGAGCTGCAATCTTGCTTGAATGGACACCTTGCACTCATGCGGCGGGAGTAGCAAGGGCCCGCACGGCCATTTGGATGCGGCGCACCGTCTCTTCATCGTCTTGCTCTTCGTTCCTCGGATGGAGCATCGGGTTTGACTTCTGGCGTTTATGGTGTGGGGCACGTCCTGCAAACCACAAGTCCAAACGCGAAGCGAAAGGTCTGACTGTTGTAAGCTTGGGAGCACTGACAGGTATCGTTATCCGACGAATGCAAAAGAAGGGCACCGAGCAGGCAACTGATGCAATGGAAAGAAATCGCGGAAGTTCTAAACAAGCCGAAACGTCCCGTCCGAGTCTGCTTCTGAAAAAGTGTGACTCAATGAGTGGCTCACGGCTATTGAAGGGAAAGAAGACGACCGCAAACATCGTGCGGCACAATCACTCGGGCTACCGTGCGTAAACAGACCATCGCAAAATTACCGCACTGTGCAGTTGCTCCAGAGTGTCCGTTGCATTGCCCATGATGATTGCCATTATGTAGCTCGTGTTCTCCACATACCACCCGCAATGACGGCGATGATCATGACAACTCCACCTCCTATTCGTCCTGGTTGCCTGAATTAAAACCTAGTCATATCACCCATGACAAATGTTGAGGCTGTCATCTTGACTACTATTTGCTTAAGAGCCCCCAAAAAATAAAAAAAAATATTCCTTATTGGGGTAATATAGGGATTATTCTTTTTTTTGGGGGGGGGTTCTTAAGCAAATAGTAGTTGATGATGGTGATGACGATTATGAAAAGACACCAAGGCTAGCTTCGCGTCCAGCGGTGCGACCAACTGCTCAGTTCATGCGGTTTAGGGTTTAGGGTTTAGGGTTTAGGGGCGCAACAGTAGCTAACGTAGGGGCCTTAGATATTCGAATAGAGTTTTTGCAGAATGCCGTACTATAAGATGACTATAGCTCTAACAAGGAACCCCTAAAGAATAGCACTGCTATTCTCCCGACACCGGTACTGGACTGGTAGACACGGATAGCAATCCCAGTTAGTCTTACCTTTGGTTAGTAGGGAATGGAAGAATGGTAGTAATAGTAGTTATAATCGTACCCCATTCCTCCATTCCCTACTTACCCAAGCTAAGCTTTTGCTAAGCCCTAAGCCCTAAGCCCTAACCCTAAGCCCTGAGCCCTAAGCCCTGCACAGCAACAAGCATCACATCTGCGACAACCTTGAGTTTTCATTGGTTTCCTATTCCTTTTACTCCGGGTGGCAAGCTGATAAACCCTAAACCCTAAACCTAAACCCAAAACCCTAAACCCTAAACCCAAAAAAATAAGCTTTTGCTACTCCGGGTGGCATGTTGAGGCCCATGGCAAACTGGCGGGCCAGAAGGCTCATGCGCCTCGCGGTGTGCGGGGCCAGGCTGGAAGGCACACTTGGGTGGTTGTCAAAAGTATGATCCCTTTTCGCGTACCCTATGCCGTACTATAATAAGGACCCAAAATGGGGATATTAGATGCCGGATTATAAAAAGGACCCAAAATGGGATCCTGATATTGACAACCACCCACTTGACGTCAAAACCTTCAGCAGCTTTGTGAGACGCTTCGATATAACGCAGAGTCTAGCCCCCCAGCCTTAAGATCAAAGGCCAAGTGCGGGTTTAGCGTTTAGTGTTGGCTCGCCGCCTAGAGCACTTTCCCCTTTTCAGGGTTTGTTTACAAGCAACGTGTGGCTTGGATGCTTCACATCGAAACACACCAGCTACATCACAAACTCTACACCGCCAATGCCCTCAACGCTAAACCCTAAACCACCCAAGCCATCAGCTCGCAGAGACCTTACAAGCCCGAAAACCGTGAGCCCTCAACTGCAAATTACCTGGAGCCCACCCGGCTCTTAAGCCGCAAGCTTGTCTGAAGTCCTAAACCCTGAGCCCTCCACCTTAAATCCGTGAACAGCTTGCAAGGGTTCGAGGACCTCAGCTACTAAACTCGAACGAGGACCCTGCAAGTACAAAAGGGCTGCGACATGCAGGATGAAGGGCGGTGACATGCAGCAGTTAATGGTGAGAAGGCGAGCACCCATCCATAGCCACCAGACGAGAAGCTTCGGACCAAGCCGGCAGTCAAGGGAAGGACCTGCTGCAGTGTCAAGCCTTTTCCAGCTTTGTGCTTTCCTGGCTCAGCTTGTCCACCTGCATCTGAAGGCCCATATTCTTGCCAGCTTCATCCGCCCATGTAACCAGAACCATCTGATCTGAAAATTTGCTGACCTCTTTCTCGTAGTCCCATTGCATGCAGTCTTAGGATTTCGCCGGCAGCACGGCGAGCAAGCTCTGCAGAACATTGGTCGACAGCCTGCCTGCGGATGTTGGCCTCCTGCATCATAACGGCCCTTGCTTGCGCCTCCTGTTGAAGGACCTTTCTCGTTTGTGGATAAATGAAGGGTACCCCTGTGTTCTATGTCAAGGTCTTGTGATTGGCCGTCTATTCCTCTTTCTAGGAAGATCCTTACAACAGCCTGCAGCGCCCCTTTCAAACCAACACGCCTGCTTGGTTCACCAAAAAATCCTGAACCCCAAACCGTAAACTCTGAACCCTAACCCCCGCAGCCCAAAACCCCTAAACCCCTGAACCCCTGAACGGCTAAACCCCTGAACCCCTGAACCTCTAAACCCCTACATCCCTGAACCCGTAAACCCCTACACCCCTAAATCCCTGAGCCCTTAAACCCCTCCACCCCTGAACCCCTAAACCCCCCCTGAGCCCCTGAACCCCTTTAACCCATACACCCTTGAACCACTGAACCCTAAACCACAAACCCTGCCTTCCCCAATTGAAACAAAAGTACCTAAAGTCTCCATTGTAGTTCCTTGTTTTGGCTATCCCAAATCTCTATTTTAGGCTCCTAACCATAAAACTCCCCCCCTGAGCCCCTAAACCCCGAGAGGCCTCGCCACCACGGGGTCGGCTTCCTCTTCGGACTCGGAGTCCTGGCAGCAGGGGCCCTCGAGTTCCTTAAAGGGATCTATAGGGTTCCTTAAGGATCTATAGGGCTCCTTAAAAGGATCTATAGGGCTCCTTAAAGGGATCTATAAAGGGATCTATGGAGTTTAGGGTTTAGGGTTTACTTGCCTTTGGTTAGTTGGGAATGGAGGAATGGGTACAATTATAACTACTGTTACTACCATATTACTATCATATTACTACCGTAGTACTACCATATTACTACTATATAACAACTATTACTACCATTCTTCCATTCCCTACTAACCAAAGGTAAGAGCAAGACTCGCTTCCTGGTTTGCTGGCCTTGTGTGCATAGCTGCCAGGGTTTAGGGTTCCTTCTTAAGTGCAATGGCTCATTCTCCGCAGGTTTAGGGTTGAGGGTTCAGAGTTTAGGATTAGGGGTTTAGGGTGTGGGGTTTAATTACGGTGGTCGCGGCGTTTCATACCGGCCTTAGCAACCCTCAAACCTGAACAAGTAGTCTTGGGCTCTACCGTAGCATCAACAGTAACTATGTTGTGACTGCTAGGGGTATGTTGTCTTAAGTTAATATCAGGAACTGTGAGGTAGTGCAATCACTGATTCTTCCGTCCCCAAACTGTAATAGCAAAGTCAGTTTCGCCAGGTAGGATCAACACAGACCACAGAACCTCTATCGATCTCTATAGCACCCCTACCGGTTTAGGTTTTAGGGTTTAGGGTGTAGGGATCCTTCATGAAACCCCCAAACCCCATCTCGCATCTCCTCAAGGGCAGCAAGGTCGGCGGCAACTCGGCTTGTTGGCGTAGGATGGACAGAGACTTGGGCCCTTGTGAAGAAAGTACTTACAGTGTAAGTACGATTATTGAGGTATGACATGAGACGAAGGGCTTGAGATCTGCATGTCGTTGTTCCCTTTCCTCCTCCGACCATGACATACCCCAAACCCTCAAGCCCTCGACCCGAATCTCGAAGTCACAAAACCTAACCCTGAACCGCACAGGCCTTCTTTGGAAGCCTGACAATTTGGGGCCGTCTAGGCTGGAGGTCTAGCAATGCATCCATTAAGGATTACGGGCGCAGGGTGCGGAGTTCAGGCTTTTGGAAAATGGGGTCTACTTCTTGGTGTCCGCCTTTGACTGTACATCCTCTGCAGTTGAAACTCAAAGGGGAGAAGGAGGGACCCTTGATGGGGACCCCTACCCTATACTGGCTATTTTAAGGGTATCTTTCCTAGGGGACCTTACTAAGGCTCCCTCCTTTTACCCTTGGAGAAAATCTCTAAACAAGCATCCTAAAGCCTCCTAGAGAGGCCTGAAGCATCAGCTAGGATATCCCCTCTTCATTGGAGGACTTGTTGGCGAATCACGATCTAAAAACCTGCAAAAACCGCTACAACCCCGGAAAATCCCCTTTTTGAGGAACTGGTACCGCTTCTAGCTCATAGCTCCGCGCCTGTGGGCCGACCTGACAGCCGGAAGCCCAAGAAGGTCAAAACAGCCCAGCAGTCCAGAACCGAACGTATCATGTAGGGGTCTTAATATTTAGGATAGGGTCATATTGTCGCTATATTTATTCATGAGCCCTAAGAACCAATGTCACTGATAATCCCTTAAGCTTCTATAGAAGCGGCATTATTGGGTGTTGGACAAGGGTTTGTACTTGTTTTAGAAGGGTTGTATTGGGTTTTGTAGAGTTTTTAGTAACGGGTCTACGGGGTTCTATACAGGGGCCTCGACCATTAGAACGGGTTTCGGGGGTATATGTGGGTAGTTGTCAAAATTATGGCCCCCTTCTAAACATTCGGTGCCGTATAGTAATAAGTTCCCAAAAACGGACCATAAATTTGACAACCACCCCATGTGTACTGTCTTGCTCACTCCCGTCCAAATGCCATGCCCTGAACCTGAACTGCCAACTCCAATCCCTATAGGTCTAATTCGACAGAACTAGGATACCGATTGGCCCAATCCCTGAACCAGGAATCCGGATCCGAAAGAAGTAGAAACCGCCCAATCTTTGACAAGCTGCTCCCGCGCTGCTGCTTCAGCCAAGCTCGGAGAGGGCAGCGCTGCAAGCGCGCGTGCTGCAGGGCCACCTCAGGGGGTTCTGGAGGGGTCAACTTGGATGGTAATTTCGTATTTAAGGCTTTCTGGGGTTCCGGGTATCGGGGTCTAGGGTCAAGGAAGTTGGGATCTATGGTGGTGTTCAGTGTGATCATTCGTTTCGGGCTGCTTCTTTGCGGGTCTGTCGGGTCTTACGCATGGTTTTGATGCAGCGGCTGAAACATTTGTGATAAGCTCACAGGGCAATGCCTTGTTCTAGGCTTAGCTTTGGGGTCGGGGCTAAACAGCACAGAGCCGAAAGTGCTCAGAGATGTTAGCTTCCGAGAAGAGGAGGTGAAGCAAGAACTGGAGGCCGTAAAATTACTGTATACGCTGTAAAGTACCAGTTTTTGGGCATGCTCGCACTAGGCCTCAACGCCTGTGACAGGATGTCTTGCGCTAGAGATGTGAAGCATCCTTCTGAAGTATGTTGCATAAAGTGCGAAATCAACACTCGTGACAGTGCGTAAACTCTGCAGTACGCTACGCAAAAACGCTGTCAAAACCAGTAGTTTGGGCATGGTCACCGTTAAAAGCGACGTCACTATCCCCCGCGCCCACCTCCCTCTGGCCTTTGGTTAGAAGGGAATGGAAGAATGGTAGTAATAGTAGATATGATTGTACCCCATTCCTCCATTCCATACTAACCAAAGGTAAGCCTTGGCCCAACCCGTGGAATGACTCGAAATGTCCTGAAAATGCCGGACAACCCAGGAAAGTGACGCGCCGCCTCATGCACCTGCTTGGAACCCTGTTCTAATTCTGAACGCCCCCTTTTTTGAATGCAAAACCCTAAACTCTAGATCCTACACCTCAAAGCCCTAACCTCTAAACTTTCTAAACCCTAAACCTTAAACATCCCTTAAACCCCTAAAGCCCTAAGACCCTAAACCCCGAAACCAAAAGCCCCAAAAGCCCCAAAAGCCCCTAAACCCCAACATCCTGGGTCCTGTGTTCCGCACCTAGACCTAAGAGTAACCTAGGAATAAAAAGGGTGCCCTTTTTGGTTTAAAGGGGGTTATAAGGGAACCCCAAAAAAGGGAATAAGGGCCTACTCCGGGTCCTAGGCACCTTCAAGGAGCGAAGCTCCAAGGGAGCAGATCGCGGCGCCAGCTCCTGAACGTCTTCATCGTTGGGGGATTTAGGGTTTAGGGTTTAAGGTTTAGGGTTTAAGGTTTAGGGTTTAAGGTTCAGGGTTTAGGGTTTGGGGTTTAAGGTTTAGGGTGGTTCGTCAGGGCTTTATCATCTGTGTATATGTCTGTGGTCATATTGCACATATCTGCAAGCATACATACATCCATCCAGCCATCCAGTCAGCCAGCCATCCATGCATGCATACATACATACAGATATGATATATACAAAAAAAGGCATGTATGTATGCAGCTATCTAGCAGCGAGGTAGGTTACTGAGGCCCCCGTGTGGAACCCGAAACCTCTCATGCTTACCACCCCTCAGCACCAGGCGCCCGCACTGAGCAAGACAGCCTGCTTCCGAAATCCGATCCTACCCTAAACCATAAACTACCCTTCATCCCCAGCTACTTCGGAAGAGAAGGGCTCCCTGTGGGGAGTGGGCATTCTTATGAACAAGCCAAGACCACAAAAAGCTGGGAGAAGTTGAACAACGCTTGGCAGTTCGTGTTTAGGGTTTGGAGTTCAAGTTTAACTTTAGAGCTCCAAACTGCAAATCCAGACTGCAAACCCTCCAACCAGAAATAGCTACTTGTCGGGTATCATGGGGAAGTGAAGGTTAACCTTTTTGGTTGTATAGGGATTATACAGGGACTATACTGACTATACTACCCAAAAAAGTTAAAGGTTACCTACTCGACTTCTAGGGATACCATCCTGCTTGGCTCTAGATTCCGATGACGGAACCAAAGCCCCGAACCCAAGCCCTGCAAATTGAAAACCCTTACAGTAGAAGCCAGAAAGTTGGAACATGGCTTTAGGAGGATTAGTGCTAGGATCCCTTATACTTTACCTTAAGGGCATGAGGAGTCTGATGTTCCAACTTTCTGGCTTCTACTATAATGCCTTCCATACCACGGATATATGCCCCGTATGACAACCCTTCTAAATCCGTAGATCTCGATGTTGCAGACACTTATGGAACCGTATGACAATCCTTCTAAAACCCTACATTCCGATGGCCGATGGTATTACTATTATTACAATTATTACTATTATTGCTGTTATTACTATTATTACTGTTATTACTATTGTTACTATTATTACTATTACTACTATTATTACTATTATTACTATTATTACTATTATTACTATGATTACTATGATTACTATGATTACTATTATTACTATTATTACTATTATTACTATTATTACTATTATTACTATGGTTGCCTCCCGATCTGGCGACGACTGCCGGGACCAAACACGCGAAGCGGCCTCTTTCAGACTCGAGGGCTCGAGAGCTTCGGGGTTTCAGGGCATTGGGGCTTTGGGTTTAGGGCTTTAGGGGTTTAGGGTTTAAGGTTTTAGGATCATGGGACTTAGTAACTAGGGTTATAAGTAAGGTAGCTATACTTATAACTACTTATAACCCCAATTAAGGTACTTATAACCGGCTAAAGGTGATGGGAGGCCGAAAGGGTGGTTTAAGATTCTTGGGGTAGGGATTCCTTAATATGAACCCTATTATGGGAAGCCTAATCCCTACTAAACCCCCATATGCTAAAACCCCTTCTGGCCTCCTATGATTGGGGCTTTGGCCTACTTGTCGGGTTTCATGGGGAACTAAAGGTTAACCTTTTTGGTTATATAGGGATTATATAGGGGCTATACTACCCAAAAAAGTCAAAGGTTACCTACTCTACTACACACAAACACATCCTTATACACAGGGGTGCTACTGGTATGGTTTAAGGGTATATGTTCTTGCAAGTGGGACCACAAGCGAACACAGCCACTAGCTATGTCGGCCCCTGCATTAAGTCTTGACACCCCGACTACAACACACACACACACACACACCTCGCAACCCTGCACAGCAAACCTACACATCGCAAAATGTTCAACTCCAACCCCAGGGTTTGGGGTGTAGAGAACCTTCCAGAAAGTAATGTGGGAACCTGATTAAGAGACCTTGGGCCTTTATTAGGGCTCCTTATACGAATCCTACTATCTTGGGGTCATAGGCCCAGGGTTTCTTAATCAGGTTCCTACATTTTTATAGTACCCTTATAGTAACCCTTATTATAGACCCCTTTAAAGGAACCCCAAGAAAGGCCCAGGGTTTCTTAATCAGGTTCCTACATTATTCGTCCCCTTGCGACCCGAAGACTCCAGGATCCCATGACTCACGAAGGCTATGTTGAAACAACTAGGGAAACTCAAGGGTTTAGGTTTTAGGGCTTATAAGGTCTTTTAATAAAATCACTTGGTACACTTCTCGATTTGTGGGCTTAAGGTCTAGGGTCTAGGGTTTAGGGTTTAAGGTTGAGGGGTTAGAGTTTAGGGTTTAAGGTTGAGGGGCTCTCAGGCACATGGGATCCTAAACACCGGCTTAGGGCATAGGGTTTAGGGGCCTTAATAGTTAGAATAGGGTATTGGGCCCCATGATACTATCGTTATATGTAACTCTAATCAGGAACGCCCCCCCCCAAATAGTGTTGGTGTTGGTGATTATTTAGGCCCGTTTATTAGGGTGTAGGGGCCAATATGAACCCTTGCTTCTTCCAGTCAGGAATGGCAGCGGCGTGACGGCCTCACTCGGTGCGAAGGTGGAGGCACCGTCGGCACCTCAGCAAACAGGAGCTCGGGTCGGTCGGTGCTTCGTTTCCAAGCTTGGGGAACGTCGCATTCAAGTCGTGCTCCACCCCCAAAACCTTATAACACATACCTTCTACTACAAACCCAACTCTATACCCTAAACGCTATACTATACCCTATACCCTAAATCGCGCTTCCCCTATTCAAGCAAGGCCGCGGTTAACAGGCGGCTCACGACCCCATGCTTTTCTGTTGGGGAAGTCTTTATTTTGGGCCCTGCCCCCACCCTGCAGCAGTCCATATTAGGGATCATATCAAGGGCTGTATATGGAAAACTATAAATACGATCCAACTGTTACGCAGTGGGGGCAGTACCCGATCTGTATATCTCCTCATGACGGAACTCCGAGCCCAAAACGAGAGCGAAACAGCTACGAAGTGGCTTCCAAAATGTAGGAAGTGCTTACCCAACATCAATGCTTCTCTGGCTCAGACCTCTGAAGAATTTCCAATCAAAATTACCCCCTGACAGTTCCCCATATCTTTACACAAGATTTGCCCAGAAACGTGGCAATGCCGTCAAGATGATGTAAACAAATCCTAAACCCTATAGATCGTAGAATCACAGGACTTGGCAAGTAGGGTAAACTTATAACCCTACTTACTAAATCACCTGATCCTCGAAATCTAAATAGGACACTGTGCAGGGTTGAGCGTCGTCTTTGGCTTTGTCGGGCTTACGGTGAAGATTGCTGAAATCTGAGACAAGGCTCCGAAAGGCTGCAAACCAGCTCGAGCCCTTGTCGCAACAAAACACCGCTTACCCATTCCGGCGACGGAGGGGGAGTACGGCCGGGACTTGTCTCAGATCTGTATCCGAAACCTTTGCGAACACGCCAACACCGACAATCTGCATACATATGATATATGTATGTAAAACATGCACACACACACACACACGCACAGAAACATATCCTAAACACTAAACCCTGCACACCCTGGCCTAAACTGCTAACCACTCAACCCTACACATACACTTCATCTGACCCTCCACGCCTCTACCCTCATGGCGGAGCCCCAGAACCCGGAACTGATTCTTTGGAGTTGATAATCACCAGGGTTATAATTAGGGTAACTATTATAACCCCAATTAAGGTACTTATGACCACCCATGATCCTCCAAGTAGGTTTGAATCTATGATTTCAAGCTTTTCCTCAAAGATTCAGATTTTTGCAGCTTACGGTTTTGGGGCACGCCCGAGATCCCCGAAACTGGGGGCTAGGGTTTATGAAAGTCTAGGGCCGTAGGTCAGCCCCGGCGCCTACCGGCGATCCAACCGGCGAGGACTTCAACTTCATGGCGTCCATGGGAGCCTGACCGGTGTAGGGTTCAGGGTTTAGGGGGTTTAGGGGGTTTAGGGGGTTTAGGGGGGTTTAGGGGGTTTAGGGGGTTTAGGGGGTTTAGGGGGTTTAGGAGGTTTAGTGTTCAGGGTTTTGGGTTTAGGGTTTAGGGCTGCCAAGAGCTATGTGGCTTGTGGCGATGAGTTGAAGTGAGTGGGAAATCCGTGTCACTAAAGGCACGCGGAGAAAAAAACCTACCTTTTAACCAGGGAAAAGGTTAAAAGGTCATTATACCTTACTAACTACAAGACGGAACCACTACACTGGCACTTATTGGTAATTAATTGGGTGGTTGTCAAAATGCTGGTCCCTTTTCAGGTACCCTATATATTAGGTGCCGTACTATAATAAGGACCCAAAAAGGGACCATAATTTTGACAACTACCCAATTATTTCGGCCCTACATTCAAGGGCCAGGGTGTAGGGAGAGAAGCCATGTGAACGGAAGGGACCTTGCGGCTCAGGGATGTCAAGCCCCCTTTTGCGGCTCTAGGGTTTAGGGTTTTGGGGGGTTTAGGGGTTTAGGGGTTTAGGGGTTTAGGGGTTTAAGGGTTTAGGGGTTTAGGGGTTTAGGGTTTAGGGGTTTAGGGGTTTAGGGTTTAGGGGTTTAGGGGTTTAGGGGTTTAGGGGTTTAGGGGTTTAGGGGTTTAGGGGTTTTGGGTTCAAAGATGAGTTTGTCTGCTTTTGGCTTGTCCTTCACCTTACGTAAGAGCGTTGACAATGCGATCGCAGTATGAATCGAGCCCGACAACCCTTCAAAGCCTCAAAGCCTAAGCCTAACCTCTAAGTTGAACCCTAAACACCCTCAATCCCTAAAGCTCAAACCCCGAACCCCGATTCCTGCAAAGCTTAGTAAGACCGAGACTGTGAACCCAAACACTGAACCCCCGAACCCATAAACCCTCAGCCGCTAAATCCCTAAAACCGCAAACCACAAACCCAGAAAAATTACAGTTAAACACCCCAACTAAACCTCAACCCAAAGAGCCTTAACCCTCCAAAATAAGGTACCCCCCTAATTTTCGGAAACTCTAAACCCTAAACCCTTTATAGAACCCTTATAGATCCCTTAAAGGAACCCTTATAGATCCCTTAAAGGAACCCTTTTTGATCCCTTAAAGGAACCCTTTTATATCTCTTGAAAGGAACCCCTGATTTCGGAAACTCCCAAAGATGGCCTCGAACTGCGTTGGCAAGGACATCGCGGAGGCCATGATCTGGCGAAGATGTTTCTATAGGGCCCCCAGGTCCAGGATTTATAGTTTAAGGTGTAGGGTTTCAGGTTCAGGGTTTAAGGTTTAGAGCTTTCGATTCGAGGGTTCCAGGGTTGAGAGTTTCTCGGCCTGTATTGATTTAGGGCCACGTAAGCAAAAATTAGGGTAGGGATATCCCATATAAATCCCCTTATAATGAAGCACAATAAGGTAGGGATATCCCCATAAAATGCTTATGCTTATGCTTATGTGCTTTTTGGGTCCCTAATTCTAGCTGAGGCTTTCAGCATTCGGGGTGTCGGCACGTGGCGCTGAGGGTTGAGGGTTTCGGGTTTGGGCCGGGGGGTCAGGCTTTAGGGAGGGCTTTCGAAGTGTCCAGGCTTGAGGTTCAGGAATTTACCGTCGAAGTGCTGGGCCCAGAGCCTCCAAAACCCCTTAATTAAGGAATATACCTTAAAGTATACCAGGATCCATAATACGATTTAAGGTATATTCCTTAATTAAGGGGTTTTGGAGGCTCTGGGGGATTGAGGCTTGCTGAGGGTAACGCTTGCGGTGCAGGGTTGTGGGATTAGGGCTTGACGGATTTAGGATCTGGGAGTTTGGTGGCCAAGGGTTTGGAGGCCATTGTGGTACCCTTCCTTTCTTGCAGTCCCTACCTGCCTCACAACCCTCGATCCACTACTATAGATGCTTAATAATTAGAATAGGGTTTGGGGGCCATTATACTATAACTATTATAATAAGGAACCACCAAAGTAGTAATTGTGATTATTTAGGCCCCCTATAGTAAATCCTTATACTAGACCTTATCGTAGCCCTTATAGACCCCTTTAAAAGGAACCCTCTCTGTAGGTAATTTATTTAGGCCTCAACAGTACTCAGACACAGCTTCAGGGCCTGCAAGACTTGGCGAGGCTCCAATGGGATCTCCTTTAGGGTTTAAGGATTAGGGTTTATGGTTTTTTGGCGGACTTGCATGAACCTGATCGGTGCGCGCCAAATTCGACTATACATGCCGTGCAAAAGCGGCTCGGGGAGCGAAGCTCCATCATCAGCTGTGAAATATCCACAGCGATCCAAAGAGAGCGCTAAAGGCTCTAGACAAAAGTGGGCCGAAGCGTTGCCCACCACGGCACCGGCCCCGCCACTCTCATTGGAGGGCGCCAGGCTGCCGGAGGGACGCTTGGAGGCAAGTCTCCAGCTTCCGCGATCTCAGCATGGGCATATGCAGCGAGGCACGTAGGGCTGCGTGCAAGATGCGCCGCGAGACGCGTCGGATTCCAGTGTTCCGTGGCACAGATTTCACACCGAGTGCCAAAGCAGGTGGTCATGTGCAAAGGGCGGCTGCCATGCCTCTTAGACTCATGGACCTTGCAAGCTTTGTTGGAACGGAAGGCGGCTGGACAAAACGAGCAGAGGAAAGGGAGTCGGGGATGCGATGCAGACGTGCATTCCAGTGCCGACTCCGGCAGGTCCCGCGGGACCAAGTCGGGCGGGGTGCGACTGCTCCGACAGGCTCGCAGGTAGGCCTTGCATGCCCGGCGGAGTGTGGGAGTGTAGCCCACCACTGCGGAAGACATGGCAGCCATAGAAGGACACGCCGGCTGCAAAAAAGGCAGATGGAGCTGCTCTGCGACGAGGCACAGGGACTCCCAAGCAAGTTCCTTCCAGGCTGGGGCCTCATCAATCGCCCCCCAAGCTGGTGCTCCTGCTGGTTGGCAGGCGTCGAGGAGGGCACGGGCACGTGCCACATGGAAGTACTCCTCAGCCGTAGGAGAATCGAGCGCGGCGGTGACTTCGCTGTTGCTGAACCCGGCACAACTGATCCCTGTGACAGGCCGAAAAGTGCCACGCAGGTACTTGCGAACGGGCTCAAGGCAGGCCTGCGCTTCTGAGGCCGAGGATGGCTGCCAAACTCCAGCCCCATGCAGGAAACGGGGGATGACCCGGGTGGCAACAAGTGAGGTCTTCTCCTTCGCAGTGTAGTAAGGAGAAAAGAGAACCTTGCGTCGGAGCGGCTTGTAGAGCTCCCGTGCAAGTCCCTCACGGTACCCGATATTCGGCCCCTCGCGTCCAGACGCCGTAACAACATTGCCGAGGTGCACATACTGAGGCGTGAGGCGGAGCTCCTCCTGACCGTCTTGAGGTCCAAAGAGAAGAATGGGCTCATCCGCGTGCAGGAGAGCACGTCGAGCCGACTGGGAGCCCTTACCATGGAGGATGGGCAGCGCCTCCGTCTTGCCAAGGGCCAGATTAGCCTGTAGGCCGAGAGCTCTCAAGCCACTGCATGCTACCTCAGTAACTCGTCGCAGTGCAGGTCCAACACTCTCTGGCCGCATGGGCCCCAGGAGGAAAGCCGAGTCATCTGCCCAGGTCGGGGTAGGCGCGGCCGGAGTGGCAGCCTCAGAAGCACCGGCAGCAACATAGATGCCTTCGGAAAGGAGGACTCTCTCCGTGTCAGCCAGGAATTGAGAGTAGAGTATCCCGAAGAATAAATCTGCAACAGGGCTGCCTGGGGCCGTGCCGCTGGTTGAGGCATACGACACGGCCGAGGGAGCATGCATGGTGAACCACGTCTGAGAGAGCTGGGCTTCCACATATCGAAGCAATTCAGCCTCGATACCAAGGGCCTCAAGCAACTCACCCCTCCGCATGCATTGGACGAAACGCTCCCGATCCTCTTCTTGAACAAACAAGGCCTGCGCTCTGAGACGAAGTGTTGACTCCGACATATGACGGCCAGACCGGAAGAGCGTGTCCCGCACCACAATGTAATAAGCATTACGGCAGTCAAGGCACAGGACGGCTCCTGACGCCCCAAGATGCTTGAGGCGTTGGATGTGAGAGCGGACAAAAAGAGCCGGGAGGGTGAGCGGCATGCCGGGCAGACGCAGAAGGTGATCAACAAGAGGACGGCGAAAGGCACGCTGGACCCCCTTGGCGCTGGCCTCAAGCAGCAAGATTGAGCTGCCACCCGGTCGGAAGGGAGGCTGCCAGTTTGGATTTCGGAATAGCCTTGGCCTGACCTCCCGTCCATTGGAAGGGGAACTGACCCCTGACAACACCCTTGAGGAGAATTGGATAGAAGACCTGTGCCGCAAGCAAGGGGCTGGCCCGGTAAATCTCTGAGCTGAGGCCTGAAAGTCCAGGGGCCTTGCCGGTCGCAAGGGAAGAAAAGCCCTGCACAAGCTGCTCGAAACTGGGAACGGCATTGAGGTCGAGAGAAGCATCGAGCGGCTTGCGACGGGAAAAGGACGAAAGGAAGCCTACAGTGTCAACCGCCTGTGCTCTCTCAGGCTTGGCAAAATGCCGGCCCAGGCTCCTCAAAATCTCCTCTTCCCCAGTGACTTCTTTGCCTTCCGCAGTAAGAGGGCACAAGATCTGCGGCGGCTTGTATCGACGGCCACGGCGAAGAACAGCCCGGATCCGATGTGCAAAGGCGGCCGTGCCCTGCCCCCTGGCCTGCTCAACCGCTCTCCTGACAAAGGAAGCCTTATCGGCAGCCATGCCTCTGGTGACAGCGCGATTGGCAGCGACAACATCAGCTGCGTGCTGTAGCCGGCGGTCATCTAGAGCACGGAGCCATCGTTGGCAGGCAACCACAGCCCCCGAGCGTCGTGCCCACGCCGCAAAGAAGCGCCACAAGTCAAGGCGTCCCGCAGCAGCACGCAGCCGCTTCTCCACAGTTCGCAGGGAACGTCGCTGGTAGATGGCCGCAAGTGTCTCAGAGGAGATGGCGGGGTTCCGTGCAACTTTAGGCAAAGGAGGCAGCTCGGATGCCAGGCAGTGCTGAAGGTGACAGTGGATGCGGTCGACATGGGTCGTTGCATCCACCTCCCAACCGACTAAGGGCGCAGTAGGGAGCGCTCTCGAAGCGGCTGCTTGTCCTGCCGCTGTCGCAAGGGCCTGTTGATTAAGGCGAATGCGAGGCTGGGTGCACGGAGCTACCAACTTGGCTGCTACCTGAACACCAACAGGCCAATGATCAAAACCGGCATGTAGATCCCGCAAGCAGCAAGTCGGAAGGGTCGCAGTACCTTCCTGCCAGTCTGCCGGTACCAGAACATAATCAATGAGCGACTGAAATCCAGTAGGGCTCTGCCACGAAAACAGTCTTTGGCCAGTCTGGTCATATTGGTCTGACGGAGCCAGATCAAAGCGCTTGCAAAGGGAGCGCATGGCCTGTGCGTTGTCATCTAGCGGAAATGCCGCGAGAGTCTCCGGAGCAGCCTCTGTCGCCCGAAACTTTGCATTGCCGTCGACAAAGACAAAAGGAACATGGCCACGCAGCACAGTCGCCATGTTTCGCTCAAGCTGCTGCCACCACGCCTGGATATCTGCCGCCGGCGCGGTGGCCGGCAAGGCATGGGCAACTGTGACTGCCAGGCGGAAAGACCCTGCTCGAACAAGGACAATCAGGCACCTGGGCTGTGCGACATGGATTGCAAAACTCTCCCTGACAAAGCGAGCTGGGATCTCGTCACATTGGCCGATGGAAGCGGCCTTGGACAACCAGAGCTGACAGCCGAATCGTCCCTCAGAGTCGCAAGACGAGGAGACGATCCAAAAGTTATCAGTGGAAGGGGCGCGCCTCCTGCAGTCCCGTGAGCACAACGTTCTGAGCCCTCAGGCCCTTGTCAAGGAGCTCCCTTGCTGCCGGGCCCCGCGCGGAAAGGCAATTGTAGGATATGGCCCGGAAATTCACAGACCAGGTGGCAAGCTGGGCTGTGGCAGGCACAGCTACAGTGGAGACAGGAGTTGTGCTCCGAGGTGCAGTGCAGGCGGCAGCTGACCACACTCCAGTGTCCCCGTGAAATGGCAACTGGCCCTGGACAGAAGGTGAGTTGGTGGCCAGCCACAAGAGGGACACCGTCCCCTCCTGAACGGAGTCCTCAAAAGCTGGGCTGTGGAAGGCAAAATCCAACGACGCTGTGGGCAGGTTTGCCTCCTTAGCCACACCGTCGGCAGCATCATTGAAGGCACAACCGGTGTGCGACTCAACCTTGAGCCAGTCGATCCTCAGGTGGAGGTGGGTGGCGAGCTGCAGCAGACTAACAGCTGCGGCAGAAAGTGCGTCGCCCGGCGAGTGCTTGGCGCGGCCAAAACAGACATCGATTGCAGACTGAGAGTCCGAAGCAATGACGGTATGCGGGACGCGCATGCTAATAGCAAGAGCAATCGCGTGCACTATAGCCCTAACCTCCCCGCGGGAAGAGCTAGGCAGCCCGTCGCTTCTCGGCACCGGCCCGGCTAGAGCGCCAAGCCGGTAAGGACTGCCACAATGAGTGCCCAATGCAACTACCGCCCCCCTTGGGGGCCGCTCCACCCTTCACTCCTTTGCGCCGGCCTCTCTGGCGCTTCCGCGGTGGCTGCGGTCTCCAGTCGTCCCCACGCCGTCTGGGTGAGGAAGGCTGATCGCCCCACCTGTTCTGGTGCCACGGCGTGTTCAGCTGTGGCTGTACATAGGGCTGCTGTCGCCAGTAGCTGGAGGAAGCCGGCTGCGCCTCTTGCCAGGCGCGGCCGCATTGTCCACAGAAACTGGAACTCGCTTTGACCTTGCATCCACATGTACACTGCCATGGGGTCTTGCTCGCCATGGCTTCGTTCGTCGTCCCCAGCTGTCGGAGAGCTCTCTCCGGCAGCGTAGATCTGGAGTGGTGCCTGGCCAGCCTGTTGGCCGCCTTGACCACTGCTTCCTCTGTAAAACGCCTTCCGGTCGTAAAAGATCTCAGAAGACTTCGATCCTGGGTCCGGGCACGCCGCAATCTGCGGTGCCAGGAGGGTTTCTTCGGCCGTATAGCTCTGGCCGGCGTGATGTCCAAGGAGGATGGTGAGGAAGTAGAGGAAGGTGATTACCATCCACAAAATTGCCAAATCCAACGTGCAAGGCCCTCTCCAAACACAATGAGTGAGGGAAAGGACAGCAGGCACGTAGACAGGAGGGGGCGCCAATCCCCGGAAAAGGCGATTCCACTGGAGCGCGACTTCCAGTTACGCGCAGAAAAAAGCACCACTCCTGTGGTGTCGCAGCGGGCAGGTAACGCTTCTGCCACGCACGGGGTTCCAGCTCCAGGCGACAATGGGACTCCGAGGAGAAACTACCAAAGTCGGGCTGAAGCCAAACGCCTAGGGTTTAGGGTTTAGGGTTTAGGGTTTAAGGATTAGGGTGCAGGGTTTAGGGCTTGAGGTTTCAGTTTTAGGGTGTCTCAAACAAGCTTTAGGGTCCAGGGTTTAGGGCTAGAAGTGTAGGGTTTAGGGGCTGTTGTGGTGGAGAATCTTATCGGTATCTCCAGAACGGAATCCCATGCATGCGCGTGCCGGTACACTTAAGGAGCCATGTAGATCGTACCTGCAACCCCTAAACCCGAAGCCCTGTGGACCCACATTAATAGCGCAGCACTGCACGGCATTGACCTCCCGTGAACCTCGAAGTTCCAACCACCCAACCCTCACGCGGAAAAAGAGCACCTGTACCCCTACCCACTCCCCCTCAGGATGGAAACTACATCCAATTATTTAGAGTTTTCGTGTTGAGGATTTGGGGAAACCAGCCCGTGCGCACCGAACAAGGATGGCTTTGATAGCGTTGGCGTTCGCCCTGTTCAGTCACTCAGACTGGTTGCTTGAAGCCTGGAAATGCTGCGGCAAGGTAATGTAGTACAGCAATTACTGGAAAGTTGTACAACAATAAAATACAATAGGATTTATGGGCTTATGCACAGCTTCCTCTACATGCTCGAAGGACCTCCAAACGAAGGATTCTTGGCAATACGAGATATTACGCAACCCTACTCCGCGGAACACGCGCGTTAACAAAGCTTTCTCGTTCAGGAACTTGTGCTAATCCGAAACAGGGGAATGCCCGGAACGATGGAACCTAAAGCTGTACTTATAGCCGGGTCTTAGCCATGTGTCTACACCTGCGAAGCACATCGCGGTCCAATTTTGGGATATGTGTGCTCAATACCCTGGACTCTCTAAGCGTTAGTTCTACAAGCTACATGCTTTAGCACAACCACAGCCGAGATGTGCGTAACCCGAACCCCCGAGCAATGAACCTAAGACCCTCAAGCCCTGAACCTCAAAGGGGACAAGGAGGGACCCTTAATGGGGACCCCTACCCTGTCATGGGCTATATACTGGGTATATAATAGCTAAATTAAGGGCATAAACCTAGGGGTCCTTATTATGGGTCCCTCCTTTTACCCTTGGAGAACCCGAAGCCCCAGACTCCTAAAACCAAAACCCCCAAAGCTCTAAACCTCTGAACCCCCAAAAAAAATCTCCAGCCCGTAAACCGGACACCCGCAACGTCTCCCCCAAACCCTCAGCCCTACATGGAACCCCAACAAACCTGCCTGTTTAAGGACTTCTACAAGGAATTCATAATCACGGACCCCAAAAATGGTAGGTTATTTTTTTTTTTAAAGTGCAGTGGGGCCTTTTCTGGTAGGTTATTTTGGCTTTAGAGGTCTGAAGACCAGCGTGAGCTCCCCGCGGTGCCGGGGGCAGGGTCCTTGCACGCCGCCTCGACCTTTCTCAGTTTCGTTTCCAGGGCACTGGGCCGGGAGTTCGGGGTTTGTGGCTTGGGGTTTGGGGTCTAGGGTTTAGGGTCTTAGGGTTTAGGGTTTTGGGTTTGGGGTTTTAGGGTTTAGGGTTTACAGGAAGATTCCTATTCCTTGGCTGCAAAGGGCTTTTTTAGTCCGAACGACCTCAAGAGTGAAAGCTCTAAACCCAGAACCTTTAACTGCAAATCCCTCATCGCTAGAATCCTAAACCCTGAAGCCCTAACCCCAAACCCTCAAGCTCATTAAGCAATAGTTTAACCTTAGCATTACTATTGTGATTTTACGATATTATTGATTGCTAATGTTATCATTATGATTTCCAATACTAGTATTATTGGCAGTGTTAAATACTAGGAATGTTAGTGTGTGTGTGTGTGTGTGTGTATATGTATATATATATATATATATATATATATATTGCTATTAGTATTTTTGCTGCTATTATGATGTGCAAACCACCTTCTCGCCGACGCACTCGTCCAGGAAGGTCACCGGCTTGCCAAGGAGCTCCTGCGACAGCCAAGTTTGAGGATCTGCCGTGCTCCATAGGGTCCTGTCAGGGTAACCCTGCATATTTTCAGTGTAGTATATGCAAGAACCCAGTCTACCGACTCGTGCCCGCTGTATGGAACCCTTTGACACCCTCGTAGAGCGCGTAGAACGTCCAATAAAACGTCAGAAAACCTAGACAGCCCCAAACTCCAGCTCACTCTCCCGGATTCGACGTGACTGCGCTTTTTTGGGAGCTCTGGCAATCGATGCTGCGACGAGGCCCGCCATGTCCTTGGCAGGGTTTAAGTTTGCCTCTACCTTCTATACCAGCCACTTAAAGACTCCTGAGCAATCATGTTTTGGTAGGTGTAAGTTATAAGATCCAGACAAGAAGAACCTGAACAGCCGAACTACGTACTCAAACTCTGTCTTGACTCCCGGCTCCCTTTTCTTGCTTGCGACCATCAGAGGTTGACGGAAAATAGGGCTGCAGAATTCTGCACAGTTGATCCGCGGTTTTATGCAATACTTTCCTGGGTTCTTCTTGAGGAACCTATTTAAGTTACCATAATCTATATTTTGGTATCCTGATTAGGGTAATTTAAACGCACTCCCCAACAAGCCTAAAAACATAGTCTTTTGGGCCTGCGTAGTACTCCTTGCTGCCATTCTGGGATAATTAGTAGGGGAGACTAGACGTCGGAGTGCCCCTTAGCCTTAGCCCAAACCCCCCTAAAGCGGTAAAGAAGATCTGCCCTAAACCCTACACCCTAAACCCCAAACCCCAAACCGTAGCAGCAGGACAGGGACCCTGGGGTTGATAGCTTCGTTTGCTGTGCTGCGTGCCTTGCAGAGGACTGAATGAAGGCTTTGCTTTACAGGGAACTCCAGAAAGTTGGAATATGGATTTATGGTAGGGTCCCCTATAATTTACCTTAAAGGGGTTACGATAATGATATTCCAACTTTCTGGCTTCTACTGTAGGGTTTAGGGTTTAGGGTTTAGGGTTGCAGCAAAGCCCTAAACCTTGTTTGATGGTGGTTTACACGCTTTCTAAAAGGTTGCCGAAGCGCTTTCCCGGGTCCTTTGTAGGAGCCTTAATGAGTGCAACTGGGCTTTGGGGTAGGTTGTAGTATAGCGTTTAACGGGCAAACATGTGACAATATTGTCGCCTGCCTCCACCCACCAACCAAAAAAAAAACTCAAACTCAAGAAGCCCCTGGTTCTCACTAGCGCAATTACTTGCTACACCTTTGGCTTCCAAAAAACCCCGACAGTCCAAACCCTGAAGTCCAAACTCATGCTTGAGAGTCCGGTAGGTGAGGCGACGAGAGGACGAACTCGTGTTTCGGCGGCCTACCAGCCTTCCTGGTATCGGCTCGGAGGTTCAGGGTTGAGGGTTGAGGGTTTAAGGTTTAGGGTTAAAGGTTTAGGGGGCTTGGGGTTTAGGGGTTTAGCGCAGAGGTTGGAGGGCTTGGGGTTGAGGGTTCAGGGCTTGGGGATTCGGGTTTGGGGCGTAGGGCGTTTTCCACTTGAGGTTGAGCTTTGCACACTTCTCGGCTAAGGGTGCAGGCTTCTGGGCTTTGGTTTCGGGTTTGAGGCTTGCGGTTTAGAGTTTGGGACTTAGGGCTTTGGGTGTGGTCACGGTTTAAGGCTTTGGGTTTCAAGCGAGATGGCTTTAGTGGTTTGGGCATCCGAGCCTCGTGCATTCAGGTCTAATGGCACGAAAGGTCCACCGATATAGGCTTCGAGTCCTGAATGGGCTGCTTTACTAACGTACGGCTGGTAAAGCCCAAACCCCAGACTTTGCTGAGTTTTCGGAATTTCAAGGTTCGCGCCACGGGTTTGGGGTTTGTTTGCATCGGATACTTCGAGATGCAGGCCTGCGGATTGAGGGCTTTGGGGTGCCGGATATTGGGGCTTTTTTAGGGTTTAGGGCTTAGGGTTTTGGGTTTAGGGTTTAGGGTTTAGGGTTTAGGGTCCAGGGATGGAATGAAATATGAGACCAGGGACCACCCACTCCTCTGGCTGGGTGCTGCGGTTTCAGTCTGAGGCTGTTGGGGTTTCGGTTTAGACTTCAGCATAAGCCCAAGAGCCTTCTTATGCCAATCCCGAAATGAAGAATACAAAACCCCGGTCGTGGAGTGTTAACCACGAAAACCCACTACCTTTCGAAAGCCAGAAACCCCAAACCCACGCCCAAGAGGCCATTTCGTGGAGGCCAGATCCAACACTTCGTCAGTGCTGGGATCCAGGAGACCTGTGTTGAGAGGCTTGGCTCGGCACTGCTTTTGGGGCCTTGATAATTCGAACAGGGGTTTGGGGGCCCGCTGTACTATAATGATAATCAGGAACCCCCAGAATAGTATAGGTAGGTCGTAAGGCCCCTGTCTTACGGGGTCAGGTTGAAGGTGCGTAGTCTTCGATGCTGCAGGATGACTCGCTGAAGTTCCAGAGGCTCCACATCTTGTGGGTCCAACGACGACGAGGAGTTGCAAAACACCAATCAGGTATACGGTATAGTCCCCCAAAACACACCTCTATAGTTCAAATCCTCATGCTTCTTCTCGAGACCGAGCGCGCAGCTTTAGGGCCAGTATCTTGGTATAAAGATTTTTTGTTTAGGGTTTCGGAATTTTAACATGGGTGGTTGTCAACATTAGTCCCTTTTTTCCTGAATAATAAGTGCCGTGTGATAAAAGGGACCCCAAAAAGGACCCTAATTTTGACAACCACCCACATGAGGGTCTAATCCTTCCAACCCCTGACTTCGCCACCCCTGTAAAGCCTACTCGAAAACTGTAGCAACCAGTATCCAACAGCCAGACCTGCACAGCAAACGTACGCCTCACCATGCATTCAGAGACGCCTTACAATGTCCGCACAGCACCCTACACTTCAGCATATCATAATCAAAAGAGCCGTCAACTTCGTCCCGCAAAGGTCCCAACCCTAAACCCTAAACCCCTAAAGCCCTAAACCCCTAAACCCCTAAACCCCTAAACCGCCCAGCCACCTTTCAGAGTCTCGTAGTGGGCCATGGGAGACCACATGTCACCCTCGGCTTTGAGCGTTAATGAAGACTTGGCGGAGTCTTGGGAATGAGTATGCCGACGGATGGTTTTTTAACGTTAAAAAAGATGGACGGAGGGATGGATGGAGGGATGGATGGAGGGATGGATGGATGCATGGATGGATGGATGCTGAAGCATGGGTGGATGCATGGGCGTCGTTAGGAACTGCCCTAGACTGCTGTAGAGTGCCCCCTCATTACAGCGCTTCTCGTGAAGCATGGTCTTGAAAGTTCTGGTTGCAGGTCCGTCTTCTCCAAACTGAAAAGGGAAAGTAGAAGCCTTAACCTCCAGGTAGATCCTCAAGGCTAAAGCCTCCAAGCATCCTCCACCCGAAGGCCAGAGCCAGATAATGCCAAGCAGTCCCCAACCCTACCCCATAAAACCCCAACACCCTCCGTCTCTGAACCGAAAGCCGCAAACCCTGAGATCCGACTCGCCTGAACCCTGCACTCCCCGACCCAAGAAACGCCCGATCTCAAAACGACGGGATTTCGCGAGTCTCATATGACCATGTTAACTACACATTTCAGTTTCTTCAGCCCGCCAACAGTATACGACGAATATAAGGATTTCTGGAAAATAGCGGCAGGAAATGAAACGCGCAAACCATCAGCAGCACAAGTAGTCGTTGGCAGCGGTGCCAAAGAAGCCATTTGTTCTAGTAGTTGCGGCGGGCCAAGGGGTTTGGTATGTGAGTCTTACCCTCCTGGGAGCTATGGCTTAAGGTTTAGGCTTTCGGGTTTGGTACAGTTGGTGTAGATAAGGCGGTGACAACGACCACTGCTAGCACTGGGTGTGCTGGATTCCTTCTCAGACCGACCTCCAGGCCTTCTCTAGGGGCCTGAATAACGACCAATAATTACCCGCTTGGGGCTCCTTGTTATACACATAGTACAATAGACAGCAATTTAAAAAAAAAAAACGTAGTCTAACTATCCAGGCCCCGCTATGTTGTAAACGATAAAACCGTCAGGCTGCGCAGTCACGAGTCACGAGGCCGCAGCAAATCCTAAACCTCAAATTCCAAACCCTACAGCCTTGTACAGCATGAAAAAAATCCTAAACCAAACCGCCATGCCTAATCTCCAGACCCCACACTCCTTCTCCAGACCCCACAACCCTTAGTGGGCATAACTCCCTCCACAACAGCCCCAATAAGCTAAACCCTGAACCCCAAGCATTACGCCTCAAACCCTAAACCTTAAACTCTAAACCCCCGAAACCCTAAGCCTCTACCCAAAGGCCCCAAACTAGTTCTTTTTGGTGTTCATCTATGGAATCCTATAAGGTAAGCCCAAAATGGAACTAGTTTGGGGGGCCTCTGGGTAAGCCCGGCCTTCGTGAAGAGTGCCGAGATCCGGGGGCGCGCGGCTCGCCGAAGGATCTCTGCGAACTCTGGGAAGCCTTGGCCTCCCGTTGTAGGGTTTGGGACTGTTTGGGATTTCGGGTTTAGGGGTTTCGGGTTCAGGATTTAGGGGTGTAGGGTTTAGGAGTTTTTGGGTTTAGGGTTTAGGGGTTGGGGCTTTGCCGTGCAAATCCCTAATCTCAACGTTGGACCCAAAGTCCAGACCACACAGACTCGACACCTCCAAGCCCTCAACCCCTGAAGCCTTCGGTACACAGGCTTCCACAACTCATTGCCATAGTACGATGCGCTCGACACAGCCTTGAACTTGTCGCAAGATACTATCGCCTACGCGCTATTCCACCGCAAAGCCCCAACCCCGAAACCCGAAACCCCAAACCCTAGCGCCCAAATTCCTAAACCCTAATACCCCTAAATCCGGAACCCTTAAACCCTGATTCCTAAACACTTTAGAGATTTAGCTGAGTGTATATAGGGCTCCTTCTGAATATCGGCGAGCGTATATCCTCGATTTTTGTGCGGGGATACAAACTGCGCAAGCTGCGAGAGCTGACACTCGAAGGAATAGTGCGACGAAC